TACTGGCCATTCCAGGCTGGTATTAAACTCCCAAGGTTACAGCTTTTCTCTGACCATGGCTTGGTAAACGCTTCCACCACCCAAATGCCAACCCCTTTTTGGAACCCAGGAAGATGCACTTGGGAATTCCTTCCTGTGGCGTACCCTCAAGCCCTTTCACACATACCCCCTCCAGGGAAGAGCTGAGAAAGAAAACAAAGGAAATTATCTGTTGCCACCAAACAGCATATGCACAATCAAACAGCATATGCACAAACCTCTTAGGACACAAAAATCCAAATCCTTCTTAAAAAAAGTAAATTTTATTAAAAAAAAAAAAAAAGATAGAAAATACATCTGGAATTTAGGCTTTTGCTAGATTTTAAAAGAGCAATTCCAAAAATTAAGCACCCAACATAGCTTTCTTGGGGGTTCAGCTTAAAGGTTACAGGCGCAAACAAAAGCATCTGGGGTTAGCACAGAGGAGTTCCACAAGCCAAAATAAAGAAATAAACCTGATTGCGTCTATCTAAACATTCTCTGTCCCAATGAATCCTTCTAGGTATGGAAGATGATTTTTTCATACCTGGTTCAAACCTTACACAACATTCCTGCTGTCCCTGTTTCTTCAGCACAAAGAGAACAACAGACAACAAAGGGAATTTTTTTCCCAATTTTAAAAAGTTCTAGCCCTCCCATTGGAGGCATTTTAACCCTTTACAGGTAAAACAAGCAGAGAACAGCTACCAAGAAGGACTTTATAGCTAACTTGCTGGCTGGGTATTCATAAAAAGGAGCTACTCCCCCTTCATGTGTCACACCATCCATGTCACTTTCCTGCTGCCCAGTGGTTTCAGTGATCCATATATTCTGTTGGATTACCTTTCCTGTTGGTGACACTAGGGTGACCAGATGTCCCGATTTTATAGGGACAGTCCTGGTATTTGGGGCTTTTTTTAATATGGTCTCCTATTACCTCGCACCCTCTTCCCGATTTTTCACACTTGCTATCTGGTCACCCTAGTGACAGACAAAATACCCCTTCCCCATTGTCCCTGAAAAAGCTCTTGCCTGTTCCCCATTCCATGCTCCTTCCACACCTCATTGTCTATAGAACTAAGTGAGGGCTATTGATTCATTCCTACCCTCCTTTCTACTGGGGAATTTTTTCCCAGTAAATATAATCAGAGTCTGCCTTTTCATGATCTGATCAGCCTTTTTTCAGTTCCTGCTCTTTTAAGGTTCTTGCTGACTACCAGTGCTTTATGGAAACTGTATTGACCCTTCTATCTTGACTGCTTCCATTTTCTTTTCTGAATAGTGCTATAACCCTTATTTTCTCTTAGCTGTTGCTGCCTAGCTCTCCAAGGTTACAGATCATAGCTGCTATCGGAGCTGTTGCCAACTTTTGCCCTTTTTAAACCCTCAGTTTCTGGAGCCAGATTATTTAATGGGAATCTCAACTATTTAGTTTCTAGCCCTTGTAGTTAAGAGAAAAGTTTGATAACACAAATCAAGTGCACGGCTCAGAAGACTGACAACAAATAAGAATCCCAAATTTATTATTATTATTTTTAAATCCCATGATTTTTAAGACAATCTCATGACTTTGGGGGTCTGGTCTGACTCATGAATTTTAAATACTTGGGGTTGGCAATACTGCATCATTTTTTGTTTGGCAAGGACTGTACTTGTGTTTGCTGCATGGCAGCAGGAGACAACTGTAGCAATACTATGCTCAGAGCCCAACTGTTCCTCTCTTGCTTGCTTAGTGGACCCAACCATCCCATGCCAGCTATTCAAGTTATATAATAGCAGCTCTAGCTCTGCAAGATGCATCTCAGCTGCTGGTTGCCTAGAGAACCTGCATGCCATGCAATTGTAGAAGAGGTCAGGACCAGCCCAAATGAAGAACAAGGGAGAGAAAATACTGGAAGAGAACACACAAATAAAAGTAGTAACAGTGGTTTAAGACCACTTTTCTACTTTAAAAAAAAATCTATTATTGACATATACAGGCTTTTGCTTTTAAATGTTTTAAAGTTTGTTTTCTTCTAATTTGCCTCCATGCTGAAAAGCCAAAAGCAAAACAAAAAATCCAAAGCTGGATAAGTGAAGAAGCACTCTAGTTTCAAGCCTCTCAGCAGTAAAATAATTAGGTTAATGTGCAATGTACTATTATCCACAGAACCTACAACAGGATAAGAGGATGAAAAGATTACAAGCAACAATTAAAACTGTCTATAACCATACCACTCTGAACAGGCCTGATCTTGGATGCCAAGCAAGATTAGTAGTTGGATGAAGACATCTTTGGCATACTGGCGATTGTAGACTTTTTGATTCTACTCTAATGCCAGATGGTGCTCTCTTCTCAAGTCATTTTCTCTCTCTCTTTTTTAAAAACAACTTTTCCACTAAAAGCAAGTGCAAAACAGGAAGAGCCAGATCCACAAAGGGACTTAGGCACTTCTGAGATCCACAAAACCTCCACTCAGCTGCTTCCTAAACTCATTCAGCATCTAACTTTTCACTACACTGCTACTGTATTTTCCACTGCATGCATCTGCTGAAGTGGGTTCTAGTCATCAAAGCTTATGCCCAAATAAATTTGTAAGTCTCTAAGGTGTCACAGGGACTCCTCGTTCTTTTAACTTTTCACTAACAGATCCATACTTGCCTCAGCCACTATCACATACCAAAGTCTCAGCCTGAGCCTCAAACCAGGGGAAGCTAGGCATTATCATACTACCTTTAAAAAACAGCAGCAACAAGAAAGAAATATTTTCTTTTTCCTTATTGTAGAAACGCCCAACACACACACACACACACACACACACAGCTGCAATATGGACAATATGTACCAATGACAAATTTAAAGTCCAACATCTCACAACTCACCAGAGTTTGGTATGAGCTTTATATCATTAGAGAAGAGGGATTCCTGGTTTTCCAATGAGATGAACAGTACTTACTTCTAGCCCTGGAAATCTTGAGATGTCTTATATTTAAAACTGTGATTTATACATAGGAAAACAATTTTAAATAATTTATGTATGGAATATAAATTACCTAAAATAACTGTCCATTATTATTTTAAAGTGGGAAATCTTCCCTTTTCCATTGTATAAATCTCCCACTTCTTGTCCTAATTGCTTTATATATAAATTCCCAGTTTTGTAAAGTATGAGCAGTCAGTGTTCCACTTATACCAATGTTTATATTACAAACTAGTCTGATAAAATAGCAGCCCACCCAGACTTTGGATATGTTATAATTTAATACAAAATGCAAGAACTTGAAATAAACTTCTGCCAGGTTGGGGGTGAGAGGGGTGGGGGTGGGGGAAGGGTATGCAAGACAGCAAGGAGCCACAGCAGGCAACATCAAAGCTAAATGCTTCTCTTTAATTTCACACTTTGAGGGTACCTACAGACTAAAGTAGGACTTCCAAGGAGTCCTATGTCATTCAATGCTGGTCACAGCACAAACCATTTTGATTTAAATTGTGCTTAGGGTTATTTCCCACACTACCACCCTTCATTTTTTTTTTATTAAAAGGACACAAGTAATTTAAAGTGCAGTTTTGCAGTGAACAATAACTAAGTAAAAATAGCATCTTCTTATTCAACACATCCATTTTCTGTATATATTTTCACAATCAGATCTGCCCTCTAGGGACAAATACATTTGTACTGCTTTTTACTCCTTCTAGTGCTACAGAGCTCAGTTAACACAGCTGAGAGAGAATTGACTGGATGGATTCTGTTACTCCTTGTGCATCATCACTAGAATTGCTTACTGAGTTCTAATCAGTTATGCCTGCACAACCCAGTTGCATAGGTGTAACAGAGGGCCTAATTTGACCCAGAGAACCTTTATTATTTGTTGAATTAGCAGGGAGGGAACATTTCTGACAGCTGAACATCTTTAAAGCTAGAAATAATGGCTAGCACATAAAGAGCTCCACACAATGAAATTTAGACAGTAGCTGTTCAAACTGTGCCAACATTAGGCAATTTTTTCAAAATTTTAAAATCAGAATATATATTTTTTCCGTTTGAACACTAATAGGATCTAAACATTTCCTTGCAGTTTACTGCCTGAGGATTCAACATTGTACTGGACAACTGAAACTGACTAGTCTAATTTCCATTCTACACGCTGAGAAAAAAAGCAAAAAGTAAACAATGTAAAAGGTGAAAATAAAAATTACATTGTTAAACGTCCGTTTAGTTTAGTAAGCTGGCTAGTAGCAACAAGTAACTGCTTCTCAACGTGTTTTATCGTTTTGGTGACCCTTTAAAGGCAACACCAAGGGCGACTCCAAATCCAAAGGTCGGTTCAGGGGGGCTTCAAAAATGCGTGTGGTTACAGTGAGACGCGCTGGGTAAGGTCATGCCTTTTATTGGACCAACTTCTGTTGATGAGAGAGCCATGCAGTGGACCTAGTATTTGCTCTGCCCTGAAGGAGGGTGGAAATGAGGCCGGGGAGCTGCCAGCGCGACCCCCCGGCTGCTCTCTGGGGGATGGGTTTGGAGCCTGCCACGGGAGGGGGGGGGGTGCCAGCAGGTACTGTGGGGGTAGCCCCGCGTTAAGCTTGCGGCCAATAGCAGGGCGTCTTCTTGCGGACTAAAATGGTTGGCTTTGTCTTCTTCCGCTCGAAGACTCACTTCAGCAGGTGGTATCCCTCCGCGTCTCCTCCCCCTCCCCCTCGAGCTCCGATCAGATGTTCGGCTGCCCCATGCGATGTCCGTTCAACTGTCAGGGTAACCGCCACATAACAGGCGAGACGCCGTGGAAAGGCGGCGCCTCTGGGCCGGGACCCCACAGGGAGGAGGAGAAGAAGCACTTGGGAAGTAGTTCCGGCGCGGAGCCGGAGAAGAGAAGCTACTGCCGCGCCGCCGCCGGGTGAGTAAAGGCGGCGCGAGACAGGGGGCATCGCTGGTGGGTCGCGCTGCTGCAGCTCCTGCTCCTCCAGCTCCCTGCGCGCGGCGGGCACTGCGGGCGGCAGCGACTCCTCCCAGGGGCGGGGCGACTGCACTCGCGTTTCCTCCTTCGGCGCCATTTTGTAGCGCAGAGAATCCGCAAATAAAGAGCGGGCGGCAGCGCGGGGTGGGGGAGGCGGCGACCGCGGAGGCCCCGGGTCTGGGCGCTGAGGCGGGTGCGGAAGGTGCCGCCCTTGATGTGACGGGCCAGGCCCGGGCAGTCGGTGCGCGGGGACAGCGAGGCCTCCGCGCCGCAAGCGGGAGGTGAGTGACCGAGCGGCCTCCCCCTCTGCCGGGGTGCCTCCGCCTCCTCCTTCTCCTCCGCGCGGGATGTGGCCGCGGGGGCGGTGGGCACTGGGCACCAGGGTGTCCCCGCCCTGCTACTCTTGGGGCTGGGGGCTCCGAGCCCGGCGGCTCCGGCCGTTACCTACGGGAGCAGGGGCAGCAGCACCTAGAGCCATTTTGTGTGAGGCGCAGGCGAGAGCCCGGCTGGGTGCGTGAGTCACGGCCCGGCCCCGGGAGCGTCCATTGTCCCCACCCGCCGGCTGGGGAGGCCCCGTTTTCTCTTATAGGCTGCGGCGAAAGCGGTCAGGAAGGGGCGGGCGGAGCCCGGGCGGGATTAGGAGCCGTTCGGGGGCCCTGCCCCCCTTCCACCGGCAATGAGCCGCGTCCCCGCCGCAGGGAGAGGCCTGTGTGCTCCGCTGTCAAATGGCCCGTCTTGCTGCGGGGGCACGGAACGGTTTCCAAGGCCTGCTCAGTGTGGCGGCAGGGTTCGCTGGCTACACGTAGAGGTGCAGCTCACTTGCGTTCCCGGCCTGCGGAGGCTGATGCACATGCTTAGCTTCACGCACTGTGCGTGGGTTCCGGGAAGGCAGCGGGACTAGTCACCGTGCCTAAAGTTAAGTATGTGTAGAAATCTTTGCAGATCCGGGGCCTTGTTTTGTATTTGTTTTTTGGAGACACTGATACCTGTAGTGGTGGTTTCTACACAAACTGTAACATAAAAATTAGCTGCCAGGTATTAAAAAAAAAAAAAGCCCGTAAAGCAATGTTTTAACTAAAACAATTGCAATTAACTGCATAATTTTATGTCTGTATCTTTTATATTCCTTAAAATATTACAGTACTGATGACATAATATTGTAAAGTGGCCTGTAAGATAAAATAGAACATGATGATCCTCCCGCATGAGCCTTTTAGTTCATGTGTCAAATATGGCACAGTAACAGCTGCTATAATCAGCTTATAAGAAGTTTTAAGAATTTACATAGAAATTTAAATAAAAACCTATCCTGTGTTCCAACTATCTGTGTTAATGTGTTACAAATAGGTGAAATATTAATGTATCTTGATATTACTGAGAGGAAAAGTAAAAGGCTGGAAACTTGACAAGCTACCATTTGTCTCCAGAATGAATTTTTGGGTTAAGATGTACATTTTTGTATGATAGTGAATAAATTATGCCATATATAAATACTGAATTTGTGTTTATGTCAATAGGACATATTGAAGATTATTCTTTAAAAGAATTTTCATTGTTTGTTTATTCTTGTAGAAAATGGCATATTGTCATGCTCTTACAGAAAATTACAGTCACCTTAGCAGTGAGGTTGAATGTTCTTTCAGTTGAGAGCCAATTGAAGGGAGGCATCTTTAGCTATTGTACAGTATTTAAAGTTGCTTATTCTGTGTGCTTTGCTTTTAAACAAAATAACTTATTTTTTAGTAAACATAGTCTATGTACTGTGGTCAGTGTCTTGGAGATGGTGGTCCATTAGCATGTTTTCTTACCCATCTTACTATTGGAATGTTAATGGCAGTTAAAATAATAAAAATTGATAAAATAACAAGACCCCTTAGGTCTTGAACTTGCAGAAAATTAAGAATGCAATAACTTTACACATTGAGTAAGAATACCTCATGCTTAAGTGTTTATAGGATTGTTGCTTTACAGATGTATTTATTTATTTCCCCCCATATCCAGGTACATATAGTGACAAAACAATAAGCAATTTAAAACAGCCAGTCAATATTCAAAGACCTAAAACAAATTTAGGTTGGCTTCTGACACTCCTTCATGCTGCTGTAGAGGTGCCAGTAGTTTTGAGGAATTACTTAATGCATCTCAAAATGTTGACTACTGGGGTGCTGCTATCAATCTGCTCTGTATATCTAAACCTCTCAAGTTTAAATTGCTAAGTTACTGTGAAGTATTGCTGATGCAGAAAGTCTTCCATGTTTCAGTAATAGGGTGAAATATATATATAATGTGTACAAAAAAATGATTAAGAGAAAGTTAGCTATTTAGGTTGCAAAGTCAACCTCTAAGTTAAGAAATGTCGGCTGTACAGTTGCTCATGCAATATGAATTCAGCCCCTTTTGCATCCATCCTGTGCACTGAATAATATTAGCCCAGGGAGTAAGGGGGGGGGAATACACATGATCAGATTAAAGGTTATATTATTATGCATATACACAAGGGGGGAGAATTAAGATTGGGAAATACCAGATTTAAATTTCCTGCGCAATGTTTGAGCCACATGGCTTTGCAACCTAAATAATTGTTTTAATGTAGACTTTTAATATAGTTTTGTAGTTCTTAAAGGAAAAAGTGTTAACATGATGCATACAGCATCATTGGCATGCATCATTATTCATAAAGCAGCATGGTTTGAACTCTGATCCTTCATTGCCTCAGGACTCTTACTACAGTAGTTGGCAGCAGGAGAAACAACTTGGTTGATTAGCTGCTGGTAGCTTTTGCTGGGGTGGAGGTGGCCTGGCTTGGCTCTGATCGGTACGTTGCCCCTATAGCAGAGGTGGGCTACATCCAGCCCTTGAGCTCCCAGCCAGGGAGGCTAGCCCCCGGACCCTCCCCCACAGCCACGCGGGCAGCACTCTGGGCGGCGTATCTGGCTCCGGTTGAGCGGCACAGCTGCCAGACATGCTGCTCTGAGCGGCATGGTAAGGGGACCGGGGGGTTGGATAAGGGGCAGGAGGAGGTTCCAGGGGGCAGTCAGTGGGCGGGGGGGTTGGATGGGGTGGAGGTTCTGGGGTGTGGTGGTCAAGGGATGGGGAACGGGGGGGTTGGATAGGTGTGGGAGTCCTGGGGGGGGCTAGTCAGGGGGCAGGGGTGTGGATAGGGGGTGGGGTCCTGGGGGAGTGGTTAGGGTTGGGAAGGGGGTGGTCAGGGGACAAGGAGCAGGGAGGGGAGTTTGGATGGGTCGGGGGTTCTGAGGGGGGCAGTCAGGGGATGGAGGGTTGGGGGGGGGCAGGCTGTTTGGGGAGGCACAGCCTTCCTACCCGGCTCTCCATACAATTTTGCTACCCCGCTGTAGCCCAAGGGCCAAAAAGTTTGCCCACCGCTGCCCTAAAGCCTTGTGCTTGGTCCAGAGAGAGATGGTTGTGGGAATGGAGCCCAGCTGTGCTTACACTTTTGAGCTGCAAAAGCAGTGGTGGATCTGCTACTGCAGCTTTGGCACAGCAACTAGGACCTGTTTTAGAATGTTCACGTTTTGTTGGTTTGGCATGCTGCTAAGATTTTCGTGAGGCAAACAAGTAGCGTATGGGAAAGAGTTGTCTGTCAGATTGTAACTTCTCATGCATTTCATGAGACAAGCAAAAGGCACATCCCTATCCCCAAGGCTTTTGCCTTGCTGAATTTCAGACATGCCAAACAATGCAGGTGTGTTAGAATTAATTACAAAAATAAAAGAACAGGAGTACTTGTGGCACCTTAGAGACTAACAAATTTATTAGAGCATAAGCTTTCATGGACTACAGCCCACTTCTTCGGATGCATATAGAGTGGAATAAATATTGAGGAGATATATATACACACATACAGAGAGCATAGCCCAATGCCAACTCTGTCCACATATCTATTCAAGTAACATCACCATAGGACTTAATCCAACCAGCCATACCATCAGGGGCTCGTTCACCTGCACATCTACCAATGTGA